AATAAGACCCTACAAAGTGTTATGTTCTCCACAAATAGAAACTTTTACATGTCCTTGCATCATTAAAATATTGGAAAATAATAAATAGGATAGGTAGAAGATAAAAAATTCAGTATACAAAGAGAAGACTGCTGTTGGCATGTTTATTTTTTCTAGTCTTTACATTGGGTTGGAAAAGTCATGATGCATTTTTGCATCGAAAAACATAGAACATTACTTCATGACTTTTCTGATGACCCAGTAAAATGTTATATTTCTAAAATTGGGCTTGTGCCATATAATCAATTTCGTGCCTGTTTTTTCATTTAACATTTTATTTGCGAGCATTTCCCTGTATTGTTATTCCTTAAAAGCATCATTTTAAAATCCTTATGCTACATTCTTTCATAGAGCTCGCTTCCCAGTTTACATAACTGTTCTCTTGCTTGCAGATCCTTTAGGCTGGTTCCAATTGCTAGTTGACCCAGGTTTTGGCTCATGTGCTTGGCAGGTCTGGTGCCATATTTTAAAATAAATGCATGGACTTGTTTATTTTAATTATGAAAGTTTGCTAACTTATTTTATCGGCTGGCTTTCACTCATTCTGAACTGTTCTTATTAACGTTGTGTTTTCTTCCTTGGTTTCCCATAGTAGAATGACAGCAGAGTAATCATTAAAAGCATGGATTCTGGGTCCAGGTCGTCTGGGTTTGATTTGGCTCTACTACTATTGTGTGTAATCTTGAAAAAGTTCTTTAACCTTTCTGTATCCCAGTTTTTTCATCAGGGATAATCATGTCTGTGTCTTAGGGTTGTGAATTAATATGTATGAAGCAGTGCAGTTCTTGCTACGTGGTAAGACTGTCTTTTTTTCATTTAGTGATTTGTAGTCTCATTTATCTTAGCTGTTTATGCATGGCCATAAGCCCCTTTTCTGCTATATTTGGCATCTGAATATCTTAAAGAGTTACCTGATTTTATCAGGCTTTAATATCTTTTGGAGTTAACTGAATTTATTGGATTTCACTTATTTACTTTATTTGGAAAATTCATAGTCCTCCCCTCCTTGTGGCACATTTTACTATTTTAAAGCTAAAATCAACTTTGTGGGGCTTGACAGATGCAGTGGTAAAATGTGATGCCCTATTCAAAGCAGATCCATGTGGGAAGGTTACTGGTTCACATCTGGAGACCTCCCTGAGTGTGCTGGGCATCTCAAGATCCAGGCTGGCTGAAGCTAGATTGTGGAGTCAAGACTTTGTTGGGAGGGGCCAGCAGGTGGTTGGGGTGCCGATCGCAGTTTGGACCTGACAGCTTGCTTTCTCACTTTCTCTTTCTTTCTCTCTTGCTCTCTGGTGAGCACATGTGCCCTATAGAAAATTAAAAATATATGTATATTAAATAAATAATTCTTTAAGAAAAAGACTGTTGGGAATTCTGTATCTCTACCTCTGTCTCTATCCCTTTTTCTCCGTCTCTCACTCATGGAAGAAATGAATTTAAAAAAAAATCCTTTGTTTAACTGTGTCCTGGAAATGCATATGTTGGCACAAAAGGAGAAGTAACTTAAGTTACTTAAGTTACTATTGATAGATTAGATTTTGAAGCTTTGTTAGTGGGCCAGCCAGTTGTCACAATGGTTAAGGTGGCTGGCATGGGCAGCTGCACAGTTTGAATCCAAGACACAGCAGCTTGAAAAACATGCCAGGCACATGTGTGTGCATGTGTGCCTGAAATCCCAAGAAGAAAATGGAAGAGAAGGGACTGTGACAGGGTCATTCCCTCTGGAGGGTGCTTTCTCACCTCCCTCTCTTCCTCTCTAGCTCTCTCCAGTGAGCACACTTGCCCTAATATTTTTTTGAGAGAGATTTTTGCTGTAGGGTACATACGTTTGCTGGAGAGACCGAGAGAAAGCGAGAAATCACTCCTCCCCCGCAGGGGGATGGCCACATTGCAATCCCTTCTCCTCCATTCTCCTCTCAGGATTTTGGGCACACACGCACATGCACCTGGTATGAGTTTTAAGCCACCAGGTCTGGGACTCGAACTGTAATTCGACCACATGGGAGTCCAGTGATGTAACCATTATGTTAGGCAAAAAAAAAAAAAAATCTGTTTTCAAGATTTTTGCCATAGGGCATGTGCGCTCACTGGAAAGAGAGATGAGAGAGAGAAGTGAGAAGGTACCCTCTATGGAGATGACCAGCCTCAGTTCCTTCTCTCTTCTCCTTGTGGGATTTTGGGAATGTGTGGTGTGATTCCCAAGCTGCTAGGTCTGGGACTCAGACTGTGGTTGGCAGTGTGGGAGTCCAGTGCCTTAACCACCACCTGATGGCCCGACTGTGGCCAATATTTTAATAGAATTATTTAATTTTATTTATTTATTATTACTGTTATTATTAAAATTTGCTATTGGGCACATGTGCTCACCAGAGGGGGAGGGCGGAGGTGTGAGAAAGCAAGTGCCAGATCCAGGACTCTAACTGCTGTTGATCACTTCAGAGTCCATTGTCTTTAACCACCATGCCACCTGCTGGCACCTGCATTTAATAAATAAATAAGTAGATAGATAAATACTCTTTTTTTTTTTTGGAGAGATTTTCGCTATAGGGCGCGTGCGCTCGCCAGACAGAGAGAGACATAGAGACAGAAAGTGAGAAATCACCCCCCGGGGGGTGTCACGCTGCAATCCCTTCTCCTCCATTCTCCTCTCGGGATCTTGGGCACGCACGCACACGCGCCCGGCGTGAGTTTTAAGCCACCGGGTGCGGGACGCGAACCGCGGTCCACTACGTGGGAGTCCAGCGACACAGCCATTATGCTAACTGCTGGTTCCCGATAAATACTCTTTGTTAGTTTCTCCTTTCCAGCTAAATATTTTCTTGATTCCTTTTTATGGCATGTAAGACCTTTATGATTCTGGCCCTATGATAGGCAGATAGTCAGAAATGAGCAGATAGTTCTAAGAAAATAGTAGAGACACCTGTCACATCAGTCACAACTTATCAGGAGTTAAACCAGGCCCTCCATGAAAATGCCTCCTACGGAAGGGAGGGCAGATCTCATTTTTATTCTTTAGTACCTGAGAAAGGCATATAGAAATGGTTGCTAATTTCCCTCTTATCATTCTTCATAAATACAAAAGGGCCCAACAAGATATTTTGGTCAACATCCTGATTCCCACTGCAGCAATAAACTAATTGGGCAGTTCATCCAAATAAGAATGTTCATACCTTCTTTTTTTGTTTTTTAAAGAATTATCTATTTTAATTTTATTTGTTCATTCATTTTAATTTGATGAGAGAGAGAGAGAGAGAGAGAAAGTGAGAAAGCAGGCCACCAGGTCCTGGACTCTAACTGTGGTCAGCCATGTGGGAGTATCCAGTTCTTTAACCACCACGCCACCTGCTGGTCCCCAAGGATGCTCATACCTTCTAAGTCCACACTGAGTTTGTGGAATTAGGTCATTAAATCCCTTACCTGTGAAAGAGATATGCAAGCACAGTAAAAAACCCACAAATTCAAAGAAGCCAAATACTGTAACAAACCTTCCCTGCTAAGTATTCAATACCAGCTCTTAGAATAAATGTATAACCTAACCCCATGCCCAGTAGTATTATAGTTGTCCGGCAGCTGCCCACACACATGCCTTTCACGGATGGAGGTGTACTTCTTTTCTATTAAAGTCTTCACTTTTCTATTAAAACTTCCTTTTTCCTACTTTACAAATGTTTGTGACTTTTCATTTTGCATCTCAAGACGGGTCTCTGATTTTAAAGATCTAGACCTAAAAAAAATCAAGGATTTTATACAACACAGATCAACTCTCCCATCCTATGCCAGCCCCACCTGTGCTTTTGTTTCATTTCTCTTCACAGTTGTCCGCAGACCCTGTGCTTCAACCCTGTGAAACTGTAACTGGGCCTGTGTTCCTGATGAGGCTCACTCTTTAAATTTGTGTCCGGAGGGACCAGCAGTTAGCATAATGGCTATGTCGCTGGACTCCCATGTAGCCAACCATGGTTCGTGTCCTGGACCTGGGGGCTTTTAACTCATGACAGGCCCCTGGGAGCATGGGTCATTTCAGGAAAATGGCAGAATATGAAACAGTTTTAATAATGAATCCCCAACTAGAAGACAGAAAAACCTCAGGTTCATGGTTGGACTCTGACACCAAGGGACCATTTGACTTAAGGCACTTTTTTTCCCTTACCTGTTCTCCATTTTCATATCTATTATAGAAATGGATTAAATTAATGGCTCTCAAGCCTAGATGCACATTAAATTACCTAAAGAGACACTCTATAATCTTTATTTTTTAATTGAATATATGTGAGCCAGAAATCAAAATTTGAAACAATTAAAAATAAAGATTATAGAACTTCAAATTTACCTCCAGGATTTTTTGTTGATCTGATAGAGAGCTGTTAAGTAGTATTTTTTTTAATCTTTAGAGTTACAGTATATGACTATATTGGGATGAGCAGATGGCATAATGGTTATGTTGCTGTACTCCCATGAAGTTGACCACAGTTCGAGTCTCAGACCTGGCAACTTTAAACTCATGCCAGGCTCGTGTGCATGCATGCCCAAAATCCTGAGAGGAAAATAGAGGAGAAGGGATTGCGGTGTGGCCATCCCCCCTGGGGGGTGATTTCTCACTTTCTGTCTCTCTGTCTCTCTCTGTCTGGCGAATGCACGCGCCCTATAGCAAAAAACCTCTCCAAAAATTTTTTGTGTCCTGATTTGCTTCTACTGAAGGGTTGGCACCACCAGAAGTACTGACTTTCTGGAAGGAACATCATTAAGGCAGCATAGTTGCCAGTTGACTTTTCTTGTGGAGTTGGAGGATGGTCTCAGGGGAGCTGGAGTTTTAATTGGAAATGCTCAGTTGTAGTTTTCCAACCGTTTGTTATATTTAGCGCCCCAGGGTTTCTTCTGGGTCTTTGTTGTTTCCTGGGGAATTTCTTTTAGAAGTAAAACCTATTATATTGACATTTTTTTCTTTTTTTCTTTTTTAGGGTAGGATCCTGGGACACCAGAATAGATGCATCTTTTGGCAATTGGTTTTACCCGGCACTAGTGGGAAGTCCAGAAATGATATATTCTTGGGCTGTATTTCACCACGCTGGAATTCATGCAGTTTGTTCCAGAACACTGACCCTCTGCTTGTGACATATGCAGTGAAGGTCTGATGGACAGAGGCTTTCTGTTGACCTTGCAGCTTTTTTCTTTCATGTGGCAGACAAGGTGGAAGACAAGGTGAAAGGGGGCAGGAGTTGCCTCCCTTGATGAATAGGAGTGTTCCACTTGGTTCTCAGAACATGGGCCCGCGTTTAAAGGTAAGGTAATAGACCTAGTTAACATTTCAGGTTTTGGTGGGCCAGCCACATGACCTAGGGGTTAAGGGAGCTAGGTCCCACGTGGCCAAATATGGTTCTGGTCTCTGTCCCAGTGGCTTGAAGGAAACACTGGGCTTGTGTGTATACCCCAAATCCCAACAGGGTGGAAAAATGAAGAAGGGACTGCAATGAGACCATGTCACAGTAGGGGGTGCTTTCTCCATCTCTTTCTCTTGTCTCTCTTTGGTGACTGTGTATGTGCCCTCTGACAATTAAAATAAAAAAGGTTCAGTTAGTGGAGCTGGGTACAGTGGTGCATGCTTGTAGTGTCCCATCTGCTCTAGAGGCTGAGGCTGGTGGACCCTGTGTTTTAGACCAGCCAGGGCAACATAAGAGACCCTGTCTCTTAAAGATTTGGTAAAATGCAGAATACAGATCCAGCAACCAATTCCTAAGCCTTTTTATTTATTTATTTTTTTTGCAAGGGCTAGCTAGCTGTTGAAGCCCACAGTCGCAGTGAGAATTGACTTTGCCCTGCTAAGGGCAATTTTGAATATGAAGAAAAAATGTCCCCTATTACGACAAGACTTTTTCACAACTGATCCTTAATATTGAGACTGGATTTTATTTAACATTATCATTATAAATTTTTATTCTCCAAAAAAGCAAAAGAATATGGCCTATTAGTCAACTTTCCAACATTCCCGAGTCAGGGGTCTTCAAGCATTTCCCCCATTTCTCGCAGGTAGTATGGGCCAGAGTGCTGTAGTTTTTTTTTTTGTTTGTTTGTTTTGTTTTGTTTGTTTGTTTGTTTGTTTGTTTGAGAGATTTTTGCTTTAGGGGGTTGTGTGCTCACCAGAAAGACAGAGAGAGACAGGGAAACAGAAAGCAAAAAATCATACCCTTGGGGGATGGCCATGCTGCAATCTCTTCTCCATTCTCCTCTCAGGATCTTCGGCATGCATGCACATGCACCCAGCGTGAGTTTTAGCCACCGGGTCTGGGACTCGAACCACGGTCGACTACACGTGAGACCAGTGACATAGCCATTCCACCAACTGCTGTTCCCAGAGTGCTATAGTATTAAGCAACTTGACCAGGATTTTTCAGTGAGCAAGTTTTATTTCTGCTCTAGATAATTTGTATTGCATTCCACTTTCCTTTGTCATATTTTGTTTTTATTTCAAAAGATAAAAAAGAAAAAAGAAGAAGAACCATAAGAGTTTATCTTTCTAATTTTAATCGCAATGTGAAATTCCTCACAGTAAGATTGGGTAATGTTTTTCATATTTTTACCTGTTTTTCTAAATCTTTTCTATTCCCAAATACTTTGTTATCTCGATGATTTCATTTTTTTATGATTCAGTGTTGTACAAGGCTGAGAGCTTTAGGCTTTGCACGTAGATGTAGGCTTGAGTCACTTTCCTGGATGGCAAAAAGAACAAACATTTGATTCTATCAGTTCAGCAGATATGTTGCTTGTATTTACTGCAGTTACTATATGCAATTATATTGGATGCTTTGGAAGATTTTTTTCTTTTAAAAAATTTGCCAGAGAGTGTATGGACTCATTGGAGAGAGAGAACATAAGACAGAGGGAAGGGTCAGCTAGCGTTGTGCTGGTTCAAGTGGCTGGAATCCATATGACCATCTGCATGATGCAAGATTTTTTTTTTTGGAGAGATTTTCACTGTAGGGCGCGTGCGCTCGCCAGCCAGACAGAGAGAGACATAGAGACAGAAAGCGAGAAATCACCCCCCGGGGGGATGGTCACGCCGCAATCCCTTCTCCTCCATTCTCCTCTTGGGATCTTGGGCACGCACGCACACGCGCCCGGCGTGAGTTTTAAGCCACCAGGTCCAGGACATGAACCGCGGTCGACTACGTGGGAGTCCAGCGACATAGCCATTACACTAACTGCTGGTTCCCTGCATGATGCAAGTTTTTCAAGCTGCCAGATGCATGCGTATTCATGCGTGCCCAAAATCCCAAGAGGAGAATGCAGGAGAAGGGATTGTGTCGTGGCCATCCCTCTGGAGGGGTGATTTGTGTGTGTGTGTGTGTGTGTGTGTGTTTCTTTCCTGCAAGCACACACACCCTGAGCAAAAACTAAAAATAAAAGAGAGAAAGGGAGAAAGCACTCCATGTGGGGGATGGTCATGTGTTGCGATCCATTTTCCATCTCTCCCTCCTTTTGGGATTTTGGGCATGCACACACACACACACACACGTGGCATGTTTCTCTTGCTGCCAGGTTCAAGACTCAAACAATATGGTTGGCCATGTAGGATCTAGCCCCTTTAACCACTAGGCAACTGGCTGGCCTGCTTTGGAGGATTTTATTTTTATTTTCGTTTTGCTATAGGGCACATGTGCTCATCAGAGACAGAGAAGAAGTGAGAAATTACCTCCCCTCCCAGGAGGGATGTCACACTGCAATCCCTTCTCCAATCTCCTTTTGGGATTTTGGCCACACATACATGCACATACACCCTGCCTAATTCTCAAGCCACTGGGCCTGAGACTTGAACCACGAAACTGTATGTAGGATCCAGCACCTTAACCTCCACATCACTTGCTGGCTCCCTACTTAGGAGGAATTTTGAGGCTTGTCTTTGCCTCATGTTATTTGCCACTCTGAAATGAAAAATAGAACAAGAGATTAAACAATGGAATATAAATGCTGTAAGATAAATAAAAATGAAGTTGTGTGTCAATTCAAAGGAGGGAAGGAATTATTATTATTTTTTTTTGGAGAGGTTTTTGCTACAGGGCTCATGTGCTCGCCAGACAGACAGAGAGAGATAGAGAGACAGAAAGCGAGAAATCACCTCCCGGAGGGATGGCCACACCGCAATCCCTTCTCCATTCTCCTCTCGGGATCTTGTGCATGCACGCACACATGCCCGGCGTGAGTTTTAAGCCACCGGGTCCAAGACATGAACCGCGGTCAACTATGTGGGAGTCCAGTGACATAGCCATTACGCTAACTGCTGGTCCCAAGAGGAGGAAAGGAATTTCTAAATCAGGGATCAGAGACTATTTCTGGGAGCAGGGCATAGAATTTTCCTTGACCTTAGGATCAGGAGATGTTTCATGGATAGAGACTGAGAGGGAGAAGGATACTCTAGGGAGAGGAGATTACTTTTAAAAAGACTTGGAGATGGGACATTTCACAGTGTTTGTGTAAAAGTGTAAAAGATATGATTTGGATAGATCATAGAATGATTGATGAGGTATTATGGGAGATAGGGTCAAGGAGAATAGTGTGGGGTTAGATGTAGCAGAGAGAGTGAGTGCAGAGAGAGCTCCTGACAAGGTTGGTAAGAGGACATAAAATGCAGAACCAGCAGATGGCATAATGGTTACGTCACTGGACTCTCACATGGCCCATCACAGTTCGAGTCCTGGACCTGGTGGCTTAAAACTCAAGCCAGGTGCGTGTGCACATGTGCCCAAAATCCCAAGAGGAGAATGGAGGAGAAGGGATTGTGGTGTGGCCATCCCCCCAGGGGGTGATTTTTCCTTTTGGTCTCTTTGGTGAGCGCATGTGCCTTATAGCAAAAATATCTCTCTCTCTTAAAAAAAAGAAAAAAGAGAGAAAATGCTTACAGAATGGGTGGAATCTGGAATGAAAGTGATTGGAGGGCAAAAGTTGGGAAGCTGTGCAGGAATATTCAGGAGGAACCAGAAAGGGGAAATGTAGAAGGAGGGCAAGCACAGAATGTGACCATGGGTAAAACTGGGAGGTGAGAATTACTGGGGCGATATTGGAGAGCAGTGGGATATTTGTTACACTGTTTGGTTCTTAGATGCTAGTGGGTGTGAGGAGTTACACTGAAGTCATGTCATACTAAAGGAGATGGTGCCCTAGAAATGATTTAATCTCAGCTCTTAGAGAACAGTGACAGTTCTAAAGCCCAGGTTGGTCACACAGCTAGTCGCAGCTCTGGGACTAGTCCCTAGGCTCTGACTTACTGTTGTCAGCTGTGTCTCACAGAGGAGGTTGTCATAGAATGTAGACAGGAATTCTTGCAGCTCTCGTGACTCAAGGCATACATTTGGCTCTGCTCTCATCCCTCCAAGGAGCAAGAGACTCGAGACCACAAGTCTGTGACCTCATCCATATATACGGCATTTTCCGCTGAGAGCTGTAATGTCCCTGAGGACCAGAAGTTTCACATTGAGGGTCAGATTTGATGGTATCCAGCTAAGGAAGTACTTGCCGCCAGTTTTGGTCCCACCAAATCATCTAGCACATTCTGCAAGGTGCAGACAGATGCCATTTAAGAGATGATAGAAGCTTTTTGAGATGGTAACAGCTTGTCAGCATAGTCTCAGGAGAAGAGATACTTGGCTTGGGAAAGAGGTTTCGGCTTGGGTCTGTATTACTGTCTTTTTATAATAGACCCTTTGGGAGTAGCTTAATCTATGTGTGTTGACAATTCTAATGTTCCTTTTGTGGGTTTCTTGTAGTAGGACTTTAGACACCAGACTAAATTAGGATTTCTATGAAACTTGAGATGGTTATTCCCCAAGTTACTCACCCTCTGAGGGTTCTTTTTGTTGTATTCTTACCAGGAGAGCTAATAGACCATTTTCTATCTATCTCTTCTTCTTTTTTTTTTTTTGAGAGGTTTTTGCTATAGGGCGTGTGCGCTTGCCAGACAGACAGACAGACAGAGAGACAGAAAGCGAGAAATCCCCCCCGGGGGGTGGGGTGGCCATGCCGCAATCCCTTCTCCATTCTCCTCTCAGAATCTTGGGCACGCATGCACATGCACCTGGCATGAGTTTTTAAGTCACTGGGTTTGGGACGTGACCCGCGGTCAACTACATGGGAGTCCAGCGACATAGCCATTATACTAACTGCTGGTCCCTATCTCTCTCTTTTTTTTTAAGAGACAGTTTTACTATAGAACACCTGTGCCCGCCAGAGACAGACAGAAAGTGAAAAATCACCACCCAGGGGCTTGGCCATGCTGCAATCCCTTCTCCATTCTCTTCTCAGGATTTTGGGCACACGCGCACATGCACACAGCTTGACTTTCAAGACACTGGGTCTAGGACGTGAACGCAGTTGACTACATGGGAGTCCAGTGAAGTAACCATTATGGCATCTGCTAGTCCCTCTCTCTCAAAATTGTCAACCACATTTAGACATAATAGCGCACTGTGAGAAAGAAAGTTGTTTTGGGGCCAGCAGGTGGCGTGGTGGTTAAGGTGCTGGACACTTCCACATGGCTGACCATGGTTTGAGTCCTCAACCTGGTGACTTGCTTCTTACCTTCTCTCTGTCTGTGTCTCTCTGTCAAATCAAAATAAATAAATGAATAAATAAAAAAATTTTTTAAAAAGTTGTTTTTTGCTCCTACCAGATCTTAGCTTAGAAATTTCTAGCAACCTTGTCTATAATAATCTAGTACTGATAAAAGGGGCTGGATTGGGTCAGCCATTGGTGGGGTGGTTAAGGTAGCTTTTTAGCCTGGTATGTTCTTTTTCTCTTTTCCTTTCTCTGCCTCTCTGTCTCAATTCTTCCATTCTTCCTTTCCTTTCTTTCTTTCTCGTTTGAGAGTATATTGATTTGGAAAGAAAGTGAATTCAGTGCATCGTAGAATGGAGAGCATATATAGCCTATACTAAGGTCAAGTTCAGGAGTAAGATAGCAACACTAGTGTACATTGCATTTTTCCTTTGATGGCTCAGAATGACCAGTGAGTAATGAAAACTGAAGTCTTACTCTGGAATCAAGTTTAACAATAAGTTCCGCCTCAAACGCCAATCTTGGCAGGTTTCACGTAGGATGAGAAGTACAGTCTCCTTTTGTTCCTGTCCTTGGCCTCTCTGCTGAGCTCATCTTCCAGAGGGCCCATTAGTTTGTTCATTTGGTTGAGAAATTGGTTGGTAACAGTATAAATGGCTTTGCGTACTTACCCACTGCTTATTATTGGGATGACCCAGAGTTCATTTTAATTACATAATGCCAGCATGATGATAATAATACTTGCTTTTAAAAAAATTTACATTCACTATAGCAACTCTTCTTAGCCGAATTACTTCCAGAAGTCAAATACAAGCAGAAACTGACTCCATTATCTTCTTTGCATGTTAATTAGCATCACTTTGTGTGGGGGAGGTAAACTGTCTCAGGAACCCAGGATCTATAAAAACGAAAGCTTCATTATTGCATTTTGTAATTAGCAATAAAGTAAGTGGCTATTTTGGTATTTCTAGAGTGATCAACAGATTGGAAGTCTGTAG